GTGGAGAGGATTTTTGCATCAACAGCTAGCACCGTCTGTGGGAAATGATTAGTTCCTTGAAGAAATAGTAATTCTTACGCGATTCGGCTCGAAGGGCAAGACGAAGGTTTCCTATCATGGAAAGGGTCCTAAAAGCATATGTTGCATAGTGTCGCGACAATGGGTTCCCCTCTTATAAAAGGATTGGTTTCTACATCAAGATTCGCACATCCATCATACTAAGGACAAAACTATGAGTCGCATGATGCCACCCTGTGTACGATGGCAGTACTCAAAAGTCTGGCACATTGATCTGGGCACCAGACCAACGTGTCTAGTGTCTCCCACCTGGCGATGCTTGTTACCCTCACTACTAAGGTTTGGTCACATATATCGAGCCTTACAAAGCCAAAACGAATTAGGTCTACCAAGGCCATGTCAAACAGGGGGTTTTGTACCGATATCTCCCATTAAGGTAGGACCAAGTAGGTCAGCCACAAAGGCCAAGAAATGTCTCTCACCAAGACCAGGAAAGGTTTTTCACCAAAGCCGGCAAGATTCAACCAAAATAATAAAATCTCTATCCACCAAGGAGGCCTCTACCAAAAACAATGTCTCTACTAACAACTAGGTCTCTATCCACCAAGAAGATTGTTACCAACCAATGAGGCCTCTACCACCAAGGAGGTTTCTACCAATACTGAAGTCCCACTACTCTATTCATCTGTGTTATCAAAGTAATCTATACACCCAAGAATGTTTCTCAAGATCCCCATATCCAAGGCGGTCTTTATGCCCAAGGAGTTCTCTAAGTCCAGGATGATTCCCATATCCAATGAGGCACTCATCTAGTGGTCACCATGCCATCGTCTGTCTAGGACGCCGAGTTGTGTACCTACAGAATGGGTCCCCATTCAAGATCCCCCAATTTATCACACTGGGGGCAGAGCAGTAAATCACGTGATAACAATCAATTACGATAACAATCAATATATGATGGTAAGAATCAAAAGACTGGCGCATTAACCTCAGTGCACAAAGACATTCAAAGTCTAGTCTCTTTCTCCAATTCCTCACGCAACCGAGGCTTCGTCGAATAACATGACTAACATCTCATAAATAGTTGTAGATAAGTTAATGCCCATCTTTGACCCATACTATTGGTATCAAATATGATTACTACTTTACTCCACGAAAACAGGACAGAGGAATTAATTTACGACCTCACAAGGGCAACCTTAAACACAAACAACACCCTTATTAAAGGGTGAACTCAAGAAGCTAAAAAAAAAAGCCTATTCCCTTATTAAAGGGAGAGCTCATGAAACTCGGGCAAAACATCCCCTTATTAAAAGGGCAAGTTGTGTGAAGCTCGTAAAAATTATTGTAATGGCCCGGTCATTTTCTTTCCTTTCCTTTTCTCAGATTTTCACCGATATTTTTTTCCGTTGATCTTTTCCTTTCTGAGTTCGGTTTCTCGCCACTTAATGTCATCTTGAGTGCTCGGGGATGGTTTCCGAGACTCTTTTCCTTGGGTTGACGACTTCCTTTAAGGACCAATTCATTTTCACATTTCACTTTTGTGATACTATTCACCTTTCGTCTTTTTCTCGGTTGTCACTTGTTGGCATAACCTCACTTTTTTTGTTTGGATTTGATTCCGGTTTTGCATGCATCCACGATATTTAAATTCCATACTATGTGTATTTTCACTTTTGTAGAAAATCATGTTAAGTGCTTACTTTTCTTGTAAAGGGTGTAGACGCATAACCTTTTTGTAATATTCTAAACTTTTGGGGTTTTGTGTAACTATTGTAAATTAATTATTTTTCATCTTAGGGACCATTTTGTAATTTAATTTGGAAGATATTTTCAAAAATGACCTTTTTGCAATTTTTGGAAAGTATGACAAGTGTCACACTCTCATGGAGCCACTTGTTGGCATTGAAGTGGAGGGACTTGGAGGCATCATTTTGTGACATTTGGAGGGTGGAGATTCACCCACTTGTTGGCCTAAGATTGGTGCAATTGTTGGCTAGGATGGTTGACAAGTGTAGGCTTGGGATTAAGTCTTGCAATTATTTTTGAGTCACTTAGAGATTATGGTTTTAAAGGAGGGTTTTTGTGCAATTGACCAAAACTTGTGTGTGTTGACCTTGGTGTAAGACCACATAGTGAGTGGAGGATTTCTCTTTCCTCCACTCACATTCTTTCACACTTAATTTCTATCTCTTCCCTCTCTTGTAAAGAAAACCCTAGCCTCCATGGATGGAGCATGAAACCTTAGGCCTTGACCTTGATTTTTTATGGCCTTGCACTCACCTAAGACCTTGAAGCTTGGAACACTTTTTGTTCCCCTCATCCTTCTCTACATAACCCTAGAAGGGTTTGCCATTTTGTGTTGATTTGCCTTGGATTCTAGAGAGACTCTTCTCTAGTGAGGTAGGGGATGTTATAGGGTTATATTTTTGTTTCTTGCATACCATTGATACTTTTATAAGTTGTATGCACATCTTTTGTTAATTTGAGAGATGTGAAATTCTAGTTTTAAATGAAAAAATGTTTTCAAAATATGTATCATCTTTAGACTCAATTATTGTATTATTTGATATTTCACTAATTTTTGAGTTAAATACTAAAATCTATTAACACTACTATAGAACAGAAAATAGATCAGAACCGATAAAGATAATTTTGGCATGCTAGATGGAGAGGCACGCAATGCGTTGTCGAAGTCTCCTTTACGTGCAGGTAATTACGATCCACCAAAGGCTCCAAGATACAACTCCAATTGTTTCCTATGCGCACGATCACAGAGAAGCTTTCTCTTTCACCAGGTTTTGATACCACATTGCACCAAAATTGAAAAAAAGAAATAGGGAATATATATGTTAGGAGTAGACTGTATAATTGCATAGAGAGAATATGATTGAAGATAGAATATGTAGTTTTTTTGAGAGAGGAACAGAACTTGTTTGATTGATTTTTTTCCGCTAATCACAATGATGCAGGACAGCTAGCTGGAGATTTTGGAACCCATGTGGACCGTCAAAAGGTTAAACAGGTGGGCTGATCAATTTTTATTGGATGATTTCGACAAATCCGTTTTTAACCCGGAAAGAGCATAGTTTTTATCAAAAACGGCGAGCCCACTCGCAGAATGGCGTTTTTTCAATTTTGAATATTTCGGGATTTTCATTAGAGACTAAACGGATTCGATTTGTTTTCTTTTTTGGTATTTAGTAGTTTTTAATAATTATGTTTCTTTCCTTATTTTTACAAAATATTTAGAGCAAGTTTGTTTTTGAGCAATTTCCTTGTGCTGCTAGTTTCCTTACGTTTTCAGAATTTCCTTTATACTGTTAGGATTTTTATTTATAAATACATGTACTGCAGAGCACGTCTTTTCATCAACAGGTATAAAACTAAATGTGTTGTTTGGCTAAATCATTGTTAATGGTTATTAACAGTTATAGCCTTTACTTTTAATTTCTTTTTATTATTATTATCGCATGCAGTTAATTTAGTTAAGGACTTTGGAATTTCTAACCAATAAGAATTCTAGAGTTGGAAGTTTTAAAACTTTTCTTATAACTCTAACATTTACTTGTTGAACCATTTGGAAATGCCGGAATGATCTAGTCTTCAAACAGAAAAAATGGGATCCTCTCGAGGCAGCTCAAAAAGTTCTCACAAACTATTTTGAATTCCAAGAGATTGCTCTCCAGTCCAGGCAGCTTGTTCTCCCCTCCAATCCTTCTATTCATCCTTCTTTGAGGTGGAATGCTCCGGGGATGGGTTCCTTCAAACTTAATTTTGATGCAGCTTTTAATTACCCCAGGAAGACTTGTGGAGGAATCATAATGTAATCGGATTAGGTGATTGCCAACCGGTTAGGTGATTGCCAACCGGTTATGAAGCTTTATGTGTGATCTTTAATGATGTTAGATTCGTTCTTAGAAAACTAAAATATCCTTTTATAATTGAATTAAAAAATAAAAGAAAGAAAAAAATCATTCAAAAAAACGTCTTCGTTTAGACTTGGGAAGTCTTCATGCCCTAAATTAAAACCCAGAATGTGTACTCAACCTCTCAGTTCCACCATGATCTCAGGCCACTTAACACCATTGAATCAAAGAAGGCAATCCAATTTCTGCTACAGTGCCCAATAAAATAAAATAAAAAACATTCAAATATACAATCATTTATAGTTCAAAGAACGATAAGCCCTAAAATTTCCTTTTCAGGTACGCATGTACACATACTTATACTGTAATCAATATGAAGTCTGTAACATTTAAAGTTGTTCATACAAAAAAAAATCAATATGAAGTCTGTAACATTTAAAGTTGTTCATACAAAAAAAAAACAATTGGAAGGATAAAGAAGTGTATATGAAAAAAATAAAAATTAAAAAAAATATTGAATATGAATGTATATAAAATTTAGTATTCATCAATACATTTTAGATGTTTATCAAACTTTGCATTTGTAGTTAAAAAAATAAATAAATAAATAATTAAAATTAAAATTAAAAATTAATTAATTAATTAATGTTCTTTTTATACTTTATCTGTTCATCATAGATTTTTTTACCAACCGCTTGGTTTTTCCTAATTTTTTTTTATTTTTAAAAAAGGTCTTCTAATTAAAGAACTCTCCACCCACACTAGTCCTATGGCACATGGCACAGGTGAAATTTAAGTCACACACATAATACTTGCTTTTTCTTTATATTAAATAGAAAAATAATGGACGTCACTCAATGACTCGGTAGAGCCCAGCCCTCCGTGCCAGGATATTATAAAATAAGTAAATAAAGTGAGTCAATTTAAGAGATATTTGACCAGTGTTGAAATTACATAATCATCGCTTATGAATACACAGGAGAGGTCACTTTGACGATTATATTGAATTAAAAGTAATTATCTTCTAGACCAATTCCAAAGCAAGAATTAGGAAGGTCTAAACAATGAAGTCATTTGTTGGACATCTAAGGTGGTGCTTAACCATCCCAAAAAGATCAAACAACATTACACATCTGCTTTTAACTCATTTAAAAATGGAGCATGACATTTGACACAATTCGAGTCACCTACAAAGAGGTACAAAGTTTGATTCTTCCCAATTACAGGGGGGTATATAACAAATGTTGTCCTCAAATCATGGTTTGCACAACTAAGTTTACAAGGTTGTTATATCATGAAACAAATGATGAGATGTTTCCACTCTGCTCAAGAGAAAGATTGATGTATACCTCCCCCACACATTTCCGAACGGCAGCTAGCCGTGTACACCACAGACTACTGGATCGGGAGCAATTTGATACATTTCCATGCGTGAAGAGCAAAGATGAAAGAATCGAAGTTGAAATAGTCATCCTACATAATCCCAGTGGCAATGCTGGAAGTTGCATTTATCTTCAGTGAGTGCTCGGGGACATAGGAAAGACCTGTCGTACCATAAAATATTTCTTAATGATAAATCACACTTTTCAATTACGTGTCAGCTGTTAATAATTTTACTACTCTTTTTTGAATCTTTATCAAAGAAAAACATCATAGCCACTGTAAATCAAACAATTCTGCACATGATAAATCTGAGTATGCATGCCCATGTCTTCATTATACACAACTGTGAAAAAATAATCAGCAATAGAGTTTAAATATCTGAACAAAGTCTCACCCAGGGATTACATATATAAATACGTATATAAAATCACAAGTAGAATACTCAACTCTATCATGATTTTACGCGCACAAAAATTAGTCTACAAATTATAACATGGAAACATATATTACATAATGTGATGATGAGCTAAAATTTGCAATTTAGATATTAGTCAAGGCTCAAGTTTCAGTCTTCTCATTAACTGGTTCAAGTCTTTCAAATCACTAACCGAAAGTTGTATGCAATCGTTAAGGTTCTCTCTCACAAAATAACTTGCTGCTCAAGACCCTACCACATGGGTATTTAATGTTACATAAATAACGAAAGGGAGTATCAAAAACAAATCCCAGTTTTACTGTTTAACTTTTACCTGAAGCTTCATACGTACGGAGAACAAAACTTACCAGGATACCCCCCCCCCCCCCCCCCCCCACACACACACACAAAGAGAGAACCAAAAATTAACACATCCAAAGTGACTACTGTGAAAGTTCAGTATCACATTCTAAATCAAAAAGGCATGGAGTAAAGTATTAAAGCTCACTCATCTTTAAAAATATAGAACCACAATTACAACAAGAAATTAATTAAGAGCAATAAGCAAATGAATACCTTTCTCCTTAACATCAATCTGCAAAGAATCAAGTGTAATAATTCCATCAGTCAATGGGAGAAGCTCAAGCTTGATGGTAGCCGTGGAATGAGAAGGAACACATCTGATGCAACAATAAAAAGTTATAATCATATGTGACATTTGACGAGGAAGAAGAAGAAGAAGTAAGTTATATATTACCCCAATGGAACTCTACTCTGCAACCATAGATGTGTACAACCCAAATCAGTACATGGAAGGACATCAGAGGTGGGAATGTCTTGCTCATTAAAAGAAACAGATTGAAGTTCATGATCCCCATTATGTCGCCCATTCCCTGATACAAGAGGCAGTGGGCTGTGCCTCTGCATTGCAGTACCTCGTCTCTCTCCAACCACTCTCCCTGTAAGCTCAGAAGAACCAACAAATGGGCTCATAGGTGATGAGGGTGAAGAATTCAAGGATAATACTGAAGGAGGTGAAGTAAAAGAGGCTGGAGCAAGAACTGTTAATGTTAGATCTTCAGCAGTCAAATTCGAAGCCTGAAGAGTTAACACCTGAGAATTTTAACCAATTAAGGAAAGCCTTTTTTGTATAATGAAAGACCAAAAAAAAACTGTTACTCAAATTCATATGAAACCTGAACAGGTAACTGAGGGACTCCAATGTTGGATCCAAGAGTTTGTCTTGACATTTCAGATGCAACAGAGATCATAAGATCCCTTGATATACGTGGGCGCCAGCTTGTTGGCTTCTTGAAAAACAATCTTGATTCTACATTCAATAACAAGATAATGAAATATAAAGAGAATCAGATCAATCAACTACCAGAGGTATTCCTAATAATGTGGTGACTTAAAAGCAATATAAATACCAGTATAGTTGCACCGACATGATACTAGAACTGCATACTGATCAGCAGTTGAAGCACTCCGCCTTCCGTCAACAATGTTGGTGGCAAGATGAGAATTTGCAGCTGCACTTCCAGCCTTGAAATGTGATGGCCGAGAACTTTCCCCATGACCCTTGGGATTCTTCCACATCGAAGTTGCTGGCTTGAGAATAAAAGAGTGTTCTTCGCCTCTCCTATCACACGCAAATTCAAAATAAGCTATTCAAAGCAAGTAGCAGCTGCTGGTCCAAAATACACAAGTCACTTTACATTTACAAAGCAACGCTTCCAGCTACTGAATTACCTTTTCTGGTTCTTTCAGAGTATATATGAACTAAGATATATGCTTATGCATTGAATGATCACAAGATCCATATGAAAACAAATTCACCCACTTTAGAGAAAATAAACAAAATAAAGTTGGGACCAAGACATGGAAAATGATATCCTTATTATGCCTCTAATATTAGTTCCCAACTTGTTCAAAATGGTTCCAGAGAGGCATTCATGTTATCAAAAATTCAAGGGACATACATAGATAATCTTGAAAGTGCATCAAAAGCATTCATTCTGAAAGATGCAAAAGAAACATACATCCATATATGACCATATAACTCAGTGCAGAATTTGAAACCTATAATTTACAAACCAATTGACACCAATATGGTTTTCATTGAAGACATCCTACTCCATATGATGAGTCATTTTTTTTTCATAAGCATATGATGAGGCATTCGAAATGACAGATTATGGAAATAGAAAAGATTGGCCATGGCTTCCATGTCAAACCCAAGAGGGAGCAAATAAGGTTCTCCTCAAGAGGCTCAAACAAAAAAGTTGCTGTGAAACTTGGCCCCCAACCCTTCTTCAAATCCCAAATTTTTCTTAGTGCAATTGATGAGAAATATGATAAAAGTAAACATAGGAACATTGCCCCACACGGCCATATAGCCTCAATAGCAATTTTTAATATAAACCTATCGAAACAAAAACAATTTTAAGGGTTAGCATCAATGTTGTTGAACTATTTCCATGTTTAGTTTAAGTTGATTCGTCTATACCCAACAGCTCATGATGCCACACTACTTGCAATATATAAATCATATTTATACAGTAGTATTTCCTCCATGGTTATTCATTTTATAATTAAGTCACTACTACATTATTCTGAAAAGTTATAAAGACTTAGCAATTAACAAGATTGATTGTTTAAATAAAATATTTTATTTTCAATTAGAATTTAAAAATAAAACTAATAATGATGATGGTAATGGACAGTTTAGAAAGGTTGAGTTCTGGTTCAAATGTTTTTTTCTAAGGAACGCATCCGAATTTGAATTTCATAACCAATTTCATTAATATGGTGGGTTCAGTTTGACCTGATATGTGCTTCTGTTACCTCAACTCAACTATTGCCAGTAGTAAATAATATCTGTCAACTGGGGGTTCAGAAGTGATTACATAAATCTGTAATTGATATGCACAAAACAATACACTGTTACTGTAGAAGTTCAGTGAAAAAAACAACACTCAGGAATACAAGTAGTTTTATTATATTAATCATAATGTTTATATCTTAATTCAAATGCACCCAATGACAAGTTTCCCCCTTTTATATATGTATGAATCTGATCATGATCAACACTGAACTCGACTCTACCAAACTGTCAACTATTTTAAATTGCCTACACAAAAAATGTAAAAGTTCAATCATAACAATGTTGTTTACAAGCCTATACATGACGATGCATATTAATAACCACATTGAGATCGCAAGAGTAAAGATAGTTGTCAAGCAATCAAATGGAATAAATTAAGACACCTTGAGTGGACAGCAACCTGAGGGCTAAATTAGGCAAGCTGTAATCGTTCCCAGCTTCAATACATGCAATTGGTAATGACAGAGGTGGTCCACCTTTAGAAGCCTCCTCAAAAATAATTGTTATGGCATCTAAATACACCACAATGTCTGGTGTATGTGCAGGAGAGACATTCTGCAAAATAATTTTATCACGATTTTACTACTTATGGCATAATAAAAAGCCATAACTTCAGTGCATTGCCACTACATAATGAAATATGAAAAATATAAAAAAATAAAAATATTGCACAATATTTTCATTATGGTAAAACAAATAATAATAATAACATAGCTTGACTCTTAAAATTGATATTCCACACCTTTATCTGAACACAAAGAAGGTCATCTGTATTGCAGTCCGCAGCAAAAGAATTGATTTCTACTGGTTGAACAATTTCTAGTTTCCTTCTCCACCTTCTTCCTGGTACATACATGCCTTCCAATCCACAACATACAGAAAACCTTTCTGGCTCCAGTGATACACCTCTGAACGACAAAAGTCCTTCTTCCTCGGTTCTTTGACTCTTCACTATTTTCTGAGATGAGAATTGATCCCAATCATCTAAGTCGAAGCTTGATTTAGAGGTGGGGATTGTAGCAGGTGGAGGTTGTGCAGTATTTTGAGGAAGTGAGGACATGGAATAACTTCTAAAGTTGCCAAAAGAAAAGAGCTGAGATCCAGATGAGGCAGCAAAATTAGGCTTTATGGATGTACTACGGATACTTGAACTTGAACTTAATGGAGGAGGAGGAGATAATGATCGAGGTGGAGGTGGAATAGAATTATCCAAAGGAAGCAACCATTTCAACAGTTCTCCACAAGGGTCCTGATTTGTTTTAACTAAGTTGTCCTGGTTCTCAGAAGTCAAATTTCTATCCTGATATTTCTCAAACTGAAGAATTTCCAAAATGGGATCTTTCACAATGTCAACACCAATACTTACCTGTAAAAGCACCTGCATCCTTCCAAACAATAAAGTGGCATGAGAATTAGCACTTGCCCAAACAACTGGTTTGCCCAGTATTGACTGCAAAAAATATAAACATTCACGACTAATTGATTAGTCACATCATAATGTAAAATACTACATCGTGACCGTAATATTTTCCCTTCTTTGGAAGCTGTTTCCATGTAAATTTAGTCTCTGGATTATGTGTTGCTTGGTTGTGATTGTCGTTTTGTGTTCTTGGTTTCTTTTAATTCATGGCTTGCTTGAAGAGGGAAGGAATTCATCCCATCACTGAAAGAGGTGGATGGTAGTGGTACAGATGTAACTAGCCTATTTAGAAGAAACGACTATCCCCAGATGCAAACAACTCCTTTCTTGCTACACAAGCCAGGTTCGTCACCAAACGATGTCCTCTTTTCTTACAATAATAAATATCTAGAAATTCAAAACCACAATGCTTCCTGCCCAACTCCTCAAAGTATTAACAAAATTATTTCCCTTTTACCTGAGACAAGAAGTGTGTAAAAAGTAAATAGAATCACAGATTTCCAGGAGAAAAAGATTCTACATATCATGCCAAATCAGCATATGTAACAAATTTATCTCTAGAAGAATAAATCTCAGATGAAACTTAAATCAAAAGGGTAAATTTTCTTTCTGATAAGTCAAAAGGGAAAATTTCATGGTTCTCATTTATCTAATTAGCCTTTTGTATACTACAGAAATGCTTTTTTTCTAAGTATATACTACAGCAATACTTTGAGCAGTTTCCTTCATTGCTTTCACTTCCACCAAATGGCACTCCCCTAGGATATTTAGGGGCTACAGCTCCTTGGGAGCAGTTCACTGACTTCTGTCTCTGCAGTTTAATACTATCAATCAGATGTCAATACATCGCAACAGGGGTTCAACCAAAGTTCTGAGTCAGGTAACAGTGAACAGATCAGAACAACAATCGCATGGACCTATGAGCACTCAGGGCAAGTTGTTTAAAATGAATATATACCGATAGTAGAATAACCTCAGTGGAACTAATGAGTCATCATCTACTTCTTTTTTAATTATGAAATGTTCCCCACTCCCCAGTCCAGAAAATCAGACTGAAAATACAAGTTAAAATAAGAAACATCCCTTAAATACCAAAATAAGCAAGTAGCGCATATAGAACAGAAAGCATGATCTTATTCAAATCTCAGAATAACTCCAAAATAAAGAACATGCATTGCTAATACTAACTCTATGTCTGCACCTTTCTAATCTTTACGTGGACGAAAGAACAAAGATAATTCAATAATATCCTAAAAGTTCTTCGAAACATACCACTATATCTCCATTCGAGAGGGAGCTACACTTAACAGCATTTCTTGCTAGTCCCCCAGAGACACTAGCATCAAAATTTCCACGATCAATAACCATATTAAGATGGGTCCTGGTTTTTGCAGTCTTTCTGGTTCCTGCACTATCTGCATTGAGCTTTTCACTAACCATCTCAAAAGATTCTGGAGATGCTTCCAAATCACTTCTTTTAGACCACAGTGGCTCATCTAACTCTGCCAACCGAACAAAAAAGTGGGAATTTCTAAATCTTCGTAACAATGTTTCAGTCCGTCTTTTGTGATCTTCCATTCTAAGAAGAGATTCCCCATCAGAAATATCTTTTTGTGGATCAATCTTATCTTTTGAAACTGAATTGGTTTCACTATTCTGATCCATCTCTTGACCATCAGCACTCACGTCCACACTTTCAGAAGCTGAATTGGTTTCATTTTCAACACTTCCATTTTGTTTCTTTGTGCTTGTTCCAATTCCATTTTTACTCATCGCTGCAGCAACTTTAAATGGCGTTATAATTTCTGTCTCCTGTTTACATGCTGACAGGCATGCCAGAATATGAACTTGTTCACCTGCAGTAATGAAAGCAATCAGATTTCACATAAAAACAAGTAAACGGAACAGGACACCATCTAGCCATAACAAATTGAAAATAAAAAAAAATAAATAAAATAAATATAAAAAATAAAAATAAAAATAAAAGGCAACGATACAAGAAAGAATGGCTACCAGGAAAAACAAAGAAACGGTTCAGCGAGTGAAAAGAAAGTATATCCGGCGCCTCACTCCAATTATCAGGAAGTTCCTCTAGAAAAGCATATCAAACATTAGATATAAGTATATAAGAAAATTCTCATTTATCACATTAAACTATCAAATTAAGGAAGAAATTTGTGAAATTATTTCTGAAATGTATTATTCATTTTGATGTGAAAACGTCAAAGATCTAATTTTTATACCAAACCATAAAATCAACCAGAGTTTGAAGAGCTAAGATAAAAACAGTCGTGAAAACAGTCATTGAATAATCAATAAAACTTGGGCATCTCATCTAATCTTCTCAAACAAGATGAACTACATTTATTCAATCCACTAATGAATTTTTTGTCTATAAATCTATCTATATCTAAATAGTAATAATATTGTCCCGTCAATGTTTTTATGGTTAGAATGAAGAATATCTAAATTCTTAAATCTATAAAGTAATACAAAGGATACTTAAGCATTTTTTAGTAAGAATCAGTGCAAATGGCTCTCTTTTTTTATAAAAGAGACCTTCACCCATATGTCAATAGAGGAAACAATGTAATTCCTTGAAAATGAAGAACACAAAACTTCCACTAGGGAAGTATGGGAAAATAATCAAGCCAACTGCCCAAAAAAACACACACATACACACACAGAAGATAAAGGCCAATATAAATTCAAAGTATGATTTTCACTTGCTAATTATTGCAATCACCTTTTAAATCAGTCCAATTTATCATTAAAAACAATGTATGAGAAAGAAGCTGATATGTCGGTTATTAAATATCACGACAATTGTGTCAGTGTTTCATGATACCTCATCCAAATTAATCAAGGCTTGCAACAGAAATTCAAGCCACCACTCATTTAGTCTCAAAAATCTATAAGCAAAACTAAGTTGAAAAAAACAAAAGGTAACAAGAAAGGAAGTAATGAAAAATATGACAATAAAGAACAAGATTGTACCTCATCCAAATTAATCAAGGCTTGCAACAGAAAGACAAACCACCACTCATTTAGTCTCAAAAATCTATATGCAAAATTTAGTTTTTTTTTAAAAAGAAAAAAAAAAAGGAAGTAATAAATAATATGACAATAACGAACAAGATTATTTACATGCTAGTTTAACAAGAATTTCCAAACCTAACAATCCAATTCAAAACTATTCAACATCAATGTAGAGAGTAGCGCAATTAATATCTCACAAGTGTCTAGTCTCCATATCTAAGCACCATTTGCTTACATAACTCTATAGTTATATAGAATAAACACAAGCGGAAGTCACGTGGGTTTTGACCAGATCATTATGTGTGAGCAATAGCAAGACAAGTACTCTCTAGCTTAAGTTTTCCTCATAATCATATAAATTCTTCTTTTTTTATTATAAGTAAAATTGTATCAGAAAGCATTCAAAAGAGGAACGCATCCCTCAAAAGCTACACAAGGCCAAATAGGACCTCTAAACTCATAATCATATACAATCTAGCCAGCAAGTTTAAGTGTAATCTATGTTAGGAGTTAATCATTTACCATTACAAGAAGGTACAACAAAAATTGACTATTACAAATGCTTTAAGCTATAAATGCATGCCAAGCTGTGGGAAAAAAGGAAAAAAAAAAAAAAAAAAAAAAAGAAGGAACTTCTAGAGCAAGTAGACTAGAGGGTTGCCCCTTATTTCAATATCAACTCCCAAATCTTGTGTAGTTATCATCAGGTCCCTATATGGAAAATTTAGTAGACAAAGAAAACTCTGATCTTTAGATAAGTAGGTGGGTGGAGCAGGTATTAGCTAATGTAAACCATTTTTTATCTTTGGCATTAAGTTTTACCTTTGTTTAAGCCTCACATGGGTATCCTAGGAAGACTATTACCCATTATCAGATATTACTTGATAGTCACAAATGAGGTAATTAGGACAATACCACTTACATATATAGGTGCATATGCATATACAAGGCTGAACAAAAAGTTACTAGACAAAACAAATGCAAATTAAGTCAGGGAACATAGGGAGACAATACTGTATGGAATAGTAATAAATCCTTCATCTTCAGCAACATCCATGTGATTCTCAACAATGGGAGGATCACTCTTTGCACTCCGGCCCCGGCCGACAGCTCCGCCGTTCTGGCCTCCAATTCCGTCAGTCTCTCCGCCATGGTCTCCAGCTCTGGACATCGGTGGGAATGGATCTTGTGCTATGAGAACCTCCAAAGTGGACATGGGTTTTGGCACATGATTTATATCTGCTTGAGATTCTTGAACAGACGGCTGCTCTGCAGCAGCAGTCTGAGAAGACCGCAGCAGAAAATTCATCGTCCCAACGAAATTAGCTCTGCAATTTTCAGGAAGATTACTAAAATCTACAATTTGGATCTGTATATATGCGTAAATGTGCTATACATTTGTTTGTGCTTAATTGATAAATACAGATATGTATATGCATATATAACAGGGAGATCCACTGATCTGGTCTAGGGTTCGAGTGGTAACCTCTAATTTGTTCATTTGTATGTATGCACACAAATATATGCATATATATACATAATTATGTACATATAAATGGAAAGCGAGAGAGTGGAAATGGAGACTTACCAGATCGAAGATCAGAGGCGAAGAAGAGTGTTAGAGAATTCACTTTGCAAAGCAGTGGCAAGTCCAAGATGGTTCGGAGAAGCCGAGCCGACCTTTAACCCGTCTGGCGATCATACCATTGGTACCATAATGGAAGAGCCCCATACAAACTACTTGGATCTGTATCACATACGGAGCACAGGACCCGGGGCGCATTTAACAATTTTTTTTTTTTTTTTAAATAAAATAAAATAAAATTGGCAATGGTTAGTAGAATAGCAGTTGGTTGGGAGAGTAGGAAATAAAACTTAGAATCGGTGTAGGCACTTCAATCCTGATCTCTTTATCACTTGAACAACACCCCACACAAATACTCGAACAACACCCAACTACTTCTGGTTTTATGATGATTTGCAAAATTCATGTATATACAATTATTTGTAAATTACATAAATACTTCTATATGCGTACCTTTTTTCTTGTCAAATAGGTCCAAGTAATTTATATACTAACGTACATGGAATATTATTGGATGTCCTAGCTTAGAATAATGTATAGTCAATAACATTCATTATTATTATTTTAATTATTTAATTCTTGATTTTTTGTAAAGTTAGATATCTTTCATTTGAAAGTTTTGGTTCATCAACCATAACATATAAGTTTGGATATAGAGTGCTTGCACTTTTTGCTCTTATATAAGAGAGAGTTTATAATACTCCAGGTATCGCATTCAAATCCTCTCAATTATTGAATCATTCATTAAGTGAGTCTCATTATCATATTTAAAAATTGGAAACCCCGAGGATACTGTACTCCTAAAGTATTGTAAACTTTCACCTAATATACATATTTTGCTTCGAGATCGAATTCTCTAATTTTCTTTGAATATAAAGAGGTTATGATATTGGGCTAATTGCCTACACCAAATTGAGACATTGTTATAATATAAATTGTTGAAAAATATATGCTTCAAATAACATTTATGATATAACTAATCTCATACTAATATGCCATGAGATAATTAATTAAATATAAAACTCAATATTTAATTAAATATGCAAATAATGCAATAAAATAAAAATAAAGAACCTGGACCGAGTGTAGTATTGGATACTATGTCCTTAAAACAATTTACGCCCCGCATGGTGCTGACGAACTCTATGGCGCTTGTCTCCCATGATATAACGGTCTATATCCACCAGTAATAGTACTACAAACTCGTGGATGCAGCGAACTTCCTCTGCATAATACTCTCTCTGACTCAATAATACATTTATACTATATATATGATGAAATTGGTGCAACCTGAACCAAATAGTTAGGACCAATTTTAATATGGCTTGGTGAAAGTAGATTATTGTTTAAGTGGCTCGGACTACTTGACTTATGGCTTGAATCCACTTGGGTTGGGTTCAAGTCTAGAGAGGGAGAGAGAAGAAAATGAATTGAATTAATTGAAATAGCAGCCACAGGTGGGTTATCAACCACTTCCAATGGGTTGCAATGGTTGGTTATTAGGTGTCTTTGATCATTTATAACTCTTCTGGCTTACTTACAGACATATTCCATCCATCGCATCTTTCCAGTTCAGTCTACAAGACGTCTATTCAGCCTACAACTGCCACACCACTAGGTTTTCTCTGTACATCGACAAACATTCTTTGTCCATCGATAAATGATATCCAGAGTTTTGCATGCAACAACATACCACCCTTCACACTAAGATATTCACGTTGTAACAGTTGAAATTCACGTTGTAATCTAATGTGAAATAAAGGGTGAAGTGCCAAAAACCTGTGAAATAAAGGGTGAAGTGCAAAAAACCCCCCTAAACTATTTCTCTTTTGCAAATAACCTCCTTGAACTAAAAATCGCCCACCTGAACTATTGATTTGTTGCAATTAAGGACAAATCAATCACAAAAGACTATTTTACCCTTTCTCATTAAAATTTTCATTTCTTATTAAATTATTTTTATTATCTTTTCTCTTATAAATAATAATTATACTATGTACCTTAATTTTATTCTTAGTATCAATTTATCATTAAAAAAAAAAAAAAATGGGTTAATTACAACGACACCCCCTGAGGTTTGCCATATTGACAGCCATACATAACTTAGTCGTTTTTTGAACAAAGACACCCCCCAAATTTGCAAACTTGAATAATGACACCTCATTTTAAAAATAAAAAATAATAAATAAAAAAACAGAGCCAAACAAAGCCTTAAGTGACATGAAATGTCTAATATGCCCTGAAATATATTTTAATCCTCACCTAAAATGACAAAACTACCCTCTCATCTCATCTTTCTCTTTCAACAGCTCATCTCATCTCACCTCTCTCTCAAAACTGCTCCATCGAACTCCTCTTCTTCCACACCCTCAAACCCCCAATCCTTAAATCAAACCCAATTTTCTCTCTATCTCACACACAATATCTTTCAAACCCCCAACCCCCATCTCAAACCCCCAATCTCATTTCTTGCCTGCTAATTCCATGCCGCAACACGGTTCGGAGAGCACTTTTAGGACGGCGTTTGGCTCGACCGTGGAAGACTCGCCATGATTCGTGTGATGGGTGACTATCCAGCACGGTTCAGAGAGCACTTTTAGGACGGCGGCCAGCGAGTGAGAAGGAGTGCTCAGCAGGTGGAGAGCTTGATTGTGGATGGCTCAACCGTGGAAGACTCGCTACGGCTAGTGAGGGCTTGGCCGGTGAGGGCTTAGCCGTGATGAAGACGACTGTGGGCAACGGGCTAATAGCACTGAACGCCAGTGGATAGCTTGGCTGGATGGAATCGGCAGCAGTTGGCTCGGTTGACTTCAGAATGGCGGTGACGGGCGCGACTGACTAACAGCGATGATAACGAGCGCTGACTCGTCCGAGTTGGACTCGGTGGTGGTTGAGCGAGGATGCGGTGGCGAGGTTAAACTTGGACAGTGGAGAGCTGTGTGGTGATGGCAGTGATGGATCGGCGAGCTTAGAACAGAAAGCTTGGTTGTGATGAGGTTGGGCTCGGCCGTAGAGACTCGACAGCGAGCTTTCGGCGGCTCAGATGGACAGCTTAGACGATGGTGAGGACGGGCTTGCGGTGAACGATGATGCTGGTTCGGCTAGGCAGCAGAAGTAAACAGCCTGGCGGTGGCGATGGCAGTGAGCAGACGGTGGAGGAAAGACTGAGGCTGTGGATGGCTCGGATGAGGGTGACGGTAGGACAATGATGGACTCGGTTGTGAACCTGTGGCGACTTACTAGATAGTGGGAAGAAAGGTTGATAGAAGATCAAAAAATTGGAAGAAGAAAGGATTTTTTAGATGAGGGTAATTTGGTCATTTTAGGTGGTCAAAGGGTAAACATGTACTTTCATCATATTTGGGGTGTCATTGTTCAAGTTTGCAAACTTGGGGGGTGTCTTTGTCCAAAAAAAGGCTAAATTGTATATGGCTATCAATATGGCAAACCTTAGGGGGTGTCGTTGTAATTAACCCACAAAAAATAGATAAATAGATTTGTAACTACAATTTTCTAAATTGATTAACTTATTATTAAAACTTTATTATTTATAATAAAACGTATTATAACCAATTTAAACATTTTTATCATAAAAAAAATATCATTTTCTTCATACAATATATTGATGAAAAATTAATAAAATACCTTTTAAAAAAAATACCTTCTTTTCATGTAATATATTCATTAAAAATTAAAAAATTAATTAATTTTTTAAAAAAAAATTACTAGATTTTTTTATTTAAATAATTAATTAAATAAATTAATGGTAAATTTATGCAAATTTAATGGAAAATATCTCATCAAATTAGTATAAATTTTTTCATAATTTATTTAGATAAGAAAAATATATTAAATGTAATTCAATAAGAAGGGGCATTATGGTCATTTAATAAAATATAGTACAGTCCTTGGGGTATGTTGCAACAAAATGAGATAATTTATGGGGTTTTATGCACAAAATATAGTTCAAATGGGTTATTTGCAAATTCAAACATAGTTCAAGGGGGGTTTTTTGCACTTTACCCGTGACATAAATGAACACCCAAAATCATATTCACGTTGTTTGTTTAATGTGGCTGTCTTTTTCAACTTACTTTGTAGACAAATTCCATTCACATGAAACACTAGTTTTTTGAACTAGTTTCCAACATAAATTTGATGCAAAATGAGAAAGAGAAAAGGGAGAAGGAGAATGAGGGATAATAAATGGGTAAAGAAATTCCCTTTCTACGTCGTCATCATCATAAATGAATAAATAAATAAAAGAAAAAAATTATATTTTAGCGATCAGCCACAGAGAAAATTCTTCTAAAGTGATCATAAATTTTAGAAAATATATGTTTTAGTGATCAACCATAAAGAAAATTCTTCTAAAGTGATCATAAAGTTTAGAAAAGATGAATAGTCATCAAATTTAAAATTTAAATGGCATTAAGACCTAAATATCTTTCTTATAATAATTTTTTTATAACTGGACATTTCTACCCTTTTCTTCTTTTGTCATTTGTTCTTCTAACTGAAATTGTGTAATATCCCGAATTTTAAAATGATAGTCTCGGGATTTATTTAATTGTTTTATTACATTTTTAATTGATTATTTGATTATGAGGCTAATTGTTTATATGTTTAATTGAAATAATTGTTTAATTTAATTGTGTGCTTAAATGGTGTATTTTTAATTGGTTGTTGTATGAAATTAATTATTTAAATGTTAGGTGATGATGTGTAGTTGTTTGTAAGTAATTGTTAGGATTAAATGATTTAATTATTTTATTTTAATTTTATATTTTAAAAGGAATTGGATTTGGATAGTATTAATGGACCAACCGTCCAAATGGGTCACATAGACTACTTGGATAGTAGTCTTGAAAGGTACGGATATTTACCAATAGATAGTTGTGTGTGTGTGTGTGTGTGTGTGTGTGTGTGTATATATATATATATATATGTATGTATATAAGGATAGTTTTGTTATTATTATTATTATTATTATTATTATTAATTGTATATTATAATAGTAACAGTAATAATTAATATGGGATAGTCAGTATATGTGTATATATAGTCAAATGTTTTATATGTGTGTGTGTGTGTGTGTGTGTGTGTGTATTCATGTTAGTTAGCAGACTTAGTTATATATATAAATGTATATTTTTCTATTTTTCTTTTCTTTTCTTTTTCCTTAAGGTAACTAAAGTTGGGAAGGGATTAGGATTATATAGTTTATATATATATATATATATACACACACACATATTACGTCTGTGAAAGGGGTTGA